TGCATTGGTAAGACGCCTGCCATTCATTTTGCTGTAAGCAATTAATAAAATTGCTGCTCCCCCCACAGTTTTGGTCCAATTTCAATAACAATTGGTAAAGGAAGAAAATACATTAAGATATAATTCTGTGTACTGATTTGATTTGGATGAACAGTTTTGACTTGGTTCTTAGAAATAAAATTGCTTAGAAATTACTTCAAATCACTGTACTCCGAAAAAAAATTTTGATTAATATCAACAATATTAAGATGAATGATTTTTTTTATTTTTTCACTTCTACAAATGATGTTGCCAACAGTGAACTAATTATTCAAAATAAAAGTTCTTACAAAACTCTACTCATCCCGGTCATTTTGTACAGGTATACTAATTAAGATCTTAACTTATTGGATCTTGAAATTAAGAAAGCCATGGTTACTTAAAGTAGAAAGTTCTTTGAAATGCTTTGTGAAATCACATGTTTGTGAAATTCTCTTAAAACTCCACTGCCTCAACATTTCTTTTTAGACAAGTAGGTTGTATTAAGCTACTGGTATTTCTGCTATAAAAATACACCATTAGAGATAATCTCGTCAGAGACATGTTTCCCCCTTTTTAAACACTAATTATATTTATATAAAGATATCCTTAATTGAACAAGAAATAAAATGTTAAGATGGCGGTCAATGATCTTACTCAAAGTCCGATTAAACAAAACATATTATAAGTGGAGAAAACGGACCTCTGAAAACTAGAGGTAGGATGAGGTACCATGGAGAAGTGATCATCTCTTGTCGACCGGTCACGTCCACCTGTGCCTCTGGTCATGATCGTGAAAATGGAAGATCTGTAGACAATTGAAAATTATGGCCATCTAATAATACGTTTGAAATATGTCAATCAAACATTGACTAAGGAAAAGAATGTAATTTACACACAAGGTCATACCATCGATATTAGAATTTTCCAAATGTTGACGTTGATGATGATGAAATTGCTGTCATCCTGTTTATCACAATGTTTGCATGACTTGCATGTGCGGGAATGTGTGTCATTTATATACAACAAAAACAATAGGGGCCTACTATTGATCCCTATGGCACTCCTGGTGTGACAGGTAAGACATCAGAATAAATTGGTTGGTGGGGAAGGGACAGAATTATCAAAATAATTTAACTTGTATACATATCGATGTACCTTTAAATTGATTATCTTTGCAGAAACACCGGTGTAGAAATTTTCTACAAGTTTAGCAAAAACAGCAACAGTCTGGGATATTATTACCTCAATAATTTCAGTAATGTACTCATATTTAGAAGTTTGTATTCAGTAAAATCAACAGTCTTGGATATTATTACCTCAATGGTTTCAGTAATATACTAATATCTGGGGTATGTATTCAGTAAAATTAACAGTCTGGGACATTATTACCTCAATGGTTTCAATAATATCCTGATATCTGGAGTATGTATTCAGTAAAATCAACAGTCAGAGATATTATTTCCTCAATGACTTCAGTAATATATTCATATCTGGAGGTTTGTATTCAGTAAAATTAACAGTCTGGGACATTATTACCTCAATGGTTTCAGTAATATCCTGATATCTGGAGTATGTATTCAGTAAAATCGACAGTCTGGGATATTATTATCTCAATGGTTTCAGTAATATACTCATATGAGGTGGTAAGTATTTTCAGTAATATAAGTTACATTTTTCAAAATTTACTCCTTTAAACGGGGTTTATTAAATTTACAATGCAGTGGTGCCTCATTTATCAGGACTCTTTAGTTCCTAGTCAATTTGTCCAGATATGTGAAGCGTCCGGATATCTGAATTACAAGTTAAACAAGACAAAATAAGTTTTAAAAAATCCGTTCCGATGAAAAGTCGTCCGGATACTGAAGCATTCGGATATGTGGCGTCCGCATCTCTGAAGGTCCACTGTATACCATGTGTTGTTTCTCATTCATTCAATAAAAGCCTTTCTAGCTCACTCAACGTTTTTTATGCTCTGATATTGATGTAATAATCTCTGTAACATAATTAAGGACCTAAAATTTGAAATATGAATTTATTCACCTTATTTGGTATCCTCTATTGTAGTGACTTTAATTGAGCTTACAGTGGTCAACAACTGGTTCATAATAATAGTAAGTCATTCAAGAAATCGGAAAGAATATTTCATAATTTATTGCTGGGAACTATGTCCTATGAGATAAGAAAATCAAAAACAATTGATCAGGTTTCTAACTAGAAGACAGTCATAAAGGCATTTTAATAATGTTCTCCTGAAAAAGCTGCTAATTCCAAGTACATCAGATAGAATTGTAATGGTCTACATAATGTTTTTTTTTTTGCTGTTTATAGGAAGGATTCGCTCATCACACAGGAGAAGTGTCCCAGACATTCTTCATGACATTCTACATTGTTATGATGGTAAGTATACCCAAAATCAAATGTCATCTTTATGACATTCTACATTGTTATGATGGTAAGTATACACAAAATTATATGTCATCTTTATGACATTCTACATTGTTATGATGGTAAGTGTACACAAAATTATATGTCATCTCATCTTAATGGTGTTCTACATTGTTATGATGGTAAGTATACACAAAATTAAAATGTTATCTCATCTTCATGACATTCTACATTGTTATGATGGTAAGTATACACAAAATTAAATGTCATCTTCATGACATTCTACATTGTTATGATGGTAAGTATACCCAAAATTAAATGTCATCTCATGAAGTTCTACATTGTTATGATGGTAAGTATACACAAAATTAAATGTCATCTTCATGACATTCTACATTGTTATGATGGTAAGTATACACAAAATTAAATGTCATCTTCATGACATTCTACATTGTTATGATGGTAAGTATACACAAAATTAAATGTCATCTTCATGACATTCTACATTGTTATGATGGTAAGTATACACAATATTAAATGTCATCTCATCTTCATGATATTCTACATTGTTATGATGTTCTACATTGTTATGATGTTCTACATTGTTATGATGTTCTACATTGTTATGATAGTACGGGTAAATCATTAGATGTCATCCCATCCTTGATGGTTAACAAGATTATAAAGGATTTGGTGAACCAATGTTAAAGAAAAGTTATCCCTTTCATTCTGGAAAAAAGAGAACCTCCAAGGCCATCGTAAATATCATTCTTTGATTTCAGTAATGACATAAATATGCAATTATATTGTACTACAAAATTGCAGAGTTAAAAGCATCACACAAGAGAATGTGAAAATCCATTTGTCCCATGGGAATTAGTGCTAGGCATGCTTATATAATTTTTATACATCTGTCTGTTGCATCTGTCTACTTTTTTTCTATTATGTAAAGCTTTGAAACAAATTAAGAAAAAATCTTTGTTTTCAACAAATTGACATAGATATGCCTTTTCTATTGTACAAAGTGCATTTACCGAGCATTTAGCATAAATCCATTCGTCCCTTGTAAGTAATGAGTGGACATGCATCCAGTTAAAGATTAGATAATGACTTTAGTGTGGCAAGCTGTTCAGGCAGCTATGATCAAGCATGTCTTATCAAGTATATCTTTTGAGAATTTGGCAGAAAGAAATAAAGATCTCTGTTGTACATGTATTAAATCTCTTAATTGTAATTTATGTCTGTCAAAATGGATAGTTACCATGGTTATTGGAACCAGTCTTCTATATTTAAAAATGAATTTGATATATAGGTATCAAGATTAATTTGATTTTGTATAATTAAATATGATTTATTTTCAAACAAACAATTTGCTGTGTCATGTGGCACAAAGATGACGGGGAGTTGCATTATTTTTCATTTTAAGTATTGATGCATTAGGCTGCACTTAAGTTTCATTTGTAAAAAATATAATGAGTATATTTTCACTCTAGTGTGTAAACAAATTGTGAACACCAGGTCCTCTTAGATCTGGAAAACATTAGTGATTTCAATTGGTAACTTCTCTGAAAAATCCAGCGGGGGTATTTGTCCCCTCTGGCTCTAATGATTACTGCATACAGGGTTATTTTCACAGTTTTAAACTTTCTTACAAATTTGCCCCGCTTGAAATTCGCCCAGTCCCAGTTCTGTTTAAGAATTTATACTGTGTTCTCTAAATTCGCCCCATTTAAAATTGGCCCACTCGTGACAAGGGCGAAAATAAAACGGGGGCAAAATTTTCCCTGTATTCAGTATATACTGCAATCGAATTAATGCATTGAAATCTGTTCTCTGGTAATAATCATAGATTTATGATGGGCAAGGGTACCTTTTCCAAAGTTATTAAATATTTGTCCCTAGGGTCAAGAGTTCCTGTGGCGTGATGCACTACTGATTATATAGTGGAAATGCATTTTTTTGTTCCTCTTATCTTCCTCAGGGTATAACATCTAAGTAAGCAATCCATGTTAAATGTATAATTATGATTAACTGTGGTGCTTCTTTCAAAATTGTAAATTTCATGGCCTCTGATTTAAGGATAAATAACACAAACAAACTTTTTTTCAGAAATCAGTATTATTTCCCATAGATTTACATTTAAATTGACAACCTGAATAATGAGTGGGAGAATTTATAAGATTTTGTCATAAAGTTAAAAAATTATGCAAAATTTTGTATGGAATTATATAAAAGGCAAAATACAATCTCAAATCTAAGCACCAAGGAAAACCTACGATTTCTTTATATTTCAGGGATTTATTATTTATATCAATACAAATCAAAATCAGTCAAAAAATTTATATCAACCCGCGCATCCATTTTTTGTTTGTGGTAAGTACCCTTAAAACAGGAATAAAATTCAATTGGTAGAAAGTTGTTGCATGAGACTCAGGTGACCTATAAGGCCCAATGGCCTCTTGTTACACTAAAGCCTTTAATGAAACAATGAAAACCATTTTAATAAGTATATATTATAAATCTCTGTTGCTAGTTTGAAGTTTCACAAATTTTCTGTGAACATTCATTATTTTTTTAATGATAATACGTGCATTGATAAAAGAGTGAAATGTGTATTATTGCAAGATTCCATAGTTTACCATACTGATTCATCAACAATGTTACATACATCATTAATTATAGAGAATACAGCAGTGATGGATATCATTGCAGATACTTTATTTTCTTGACTTGTCTGTTTCTGAATTGAGCAACAAACAGATTGTCATTTGTATCTATACACAGTCCACAGGGATTACTCTGTCCACAGTGTATGTAACGGAGGAACTGTCCATCCTGGTCTATGATATGGACACAGTCATTTATGATATCAGCTGTAAGGATGTGACTCTGACTGTCTGTGGTGATTCCTCGCGGACTGAATGGTTCATTCTTTGGAACAGGAGTATGTCCAGTGTACCTGAATCTCAGTTTCCCGGCCTGACTGACCACCACTACTGCTTTAGCTTTATAGTCAGCCACACAGATATCCAGGTTCTTGTTCTCAGTTATGTCTTTACCAAATAAATACAGGCGTTTACATTTATCATCAAACTGAATGGTTTGTTTCTCTGTGGAGCCAGAGTAACGGACAACTTTTGATTGTTTGTCATCATCACTGCTCATGGTAACCAGGAGGTCACCAGAGGAGGTACAACAGACACCGCGAGGTCTCCAGTTCTGTAGTCTGATCACCTCCTCTATCTTCTCATTCTTCACAGTGTTCACAGTTCTATCATTGTAATCAGTATAAACTAGATCTCCACTTTCTGTCGCTGCTAAGTCAAATGGTTCCTTCCCTGACTTGGTTGTAACTGACTTGAGTAGTAATCCCTGATTAATGCTGTAGAGTTTCATGGTGTTTCCACTTGTCCAGATTTTTTCATCACGCATACAGGCCACATAGTAAAGTTTTCCATACCCAGTGTCTATGGTGGTTACAGTCTCTGGTTCATCAAGCAGCTGTTTGACTGGAGGTGTGGATCCATCTTCTGGTGATTTTTGTGTTGTCTCCATGCTGCATCCATATTCATCTGATGTTGGAGAACTTGATAAGTCTCCAAACATTTTATTAAATTCTTCTCCTTGTATTTTTCCTGGAATGAATTTAGGTAAAGATGGTATTATTTTGTGTGGAAGATTTCTGTATGCGTGTACTTTTGACATGACATTCCATAGTTTAGACATATCATTGGTGTCTATTGCAGTTTCCATTGAATTGATTTGATCCTTGATGTCAGACATTGTCTTATTTATTTCATCTAGTTGTTTCTGTAGAGTTTGTAACTGTGTGTTTTTCATCACATCAACTTCAGCTTTAAGTTTCTTGACAAGTTCGTCAATTTCTCTGTGCCAGTCCTCTCCATGTTTTGTTATGGCTCTTGAGAGATCTCCGTATTCCTTTTCTAATTGACTCATTCTGTTTTGTACATCAGAGGCAATGTCCTGGTAGGTTGGGTAAATTGAATCATTTAATTCATTTTTTTCTTTTATAATCATGTCTTTCTTTTCATCCATAACTCGCAAGATTTTAGATAATTCATGACCTAAATGTTGATTAAAATCAACACAATTGATGCAGACAGGAATGTCACATTGTTTACAGTACATTTCACATCGTTCTTTGTCATGAGATTTACATTTAGGGTAGAAGGGAGTGGATTTTCTGTCCTTGAAGTCAACAATTTTGTGAGGTTTTGAGAGATCAGCAAAAAAATGAACTCCCACACAAGCTACGCACAGGTTGACAAGACATGTATCACAGTGCATCTGTACTACAGGGGTCTCACACAGGTCACATCGCATCACGTCCTGGGCACTGGCACGGGGGTCCATCATGAAATTTTAAGACTGAAGCATAAAATAAATTCAATATAATATATATTTATTGACTGGGTTTGAGGCTAGCATACATTTTTGTTGGATTCCAGAACAACAGTTTGCCTGAGGTCATAGGTAGATAAACATGTCAACAAAACAAAGTATCATATTATGTACTGTACAAAGATCATTGAATCTTTCTGGTTTCATATTTTATTGCCATGGTTAAAGCCTGTACTACTAAACTTTTAATGAACCTTACATGTTGTAGAAGAAATAGTAATTAAAATGTTTCTTACCTGACTTCAGTAATGGCGGCCGCCCTGTTCATCGATCTCCTATCTATCTCTATACACTCTGTTCACGTGACCCACTTACCTGTGTTGGTGTTTATACTTCCTGGTCTAGATGGGAATTTAAATACCTCAAATGCAAGATCTATTTTATATTCATTTCGATCATTTCATACGAATTTAGATAAAAAATTTTATTTTAAAAATTTGGGAAATTTCTTTTTGTAATATTATATGAATATGTATTAAGAAAGCATTGATTTTTGCATCAAATTTTTTAAAAATTTTGTATTTTCTTTTTAATACTCACAAGAAATTATATGAATGTAGTTGATACGTAAATTTTAGAATAAATAACTTTAAAGTGCTGTGAATTTAGAAAACATAATGACAGATTTTGAAAAACAGTTGCTATACTACTTATTTAAAGTTAAAATTCAAATATTGTATACAGTAAAACAGGTAAGCTATATATTTTACCCCCCTTCTGAAGGAGAGGGGGGTATCCTGTTTTACCCTTGTGTGTCTCAGCAGTTTTCTCAGCAACTACTCATCAAAGATGCTTGAAATTTACACACAATCTTCTCTGACGCATGCCATATAGTGGGATACATTTTTGTTCAAATCCGATGTCAACTTCCTGTTCGTCTGTGCATCTGTAGGTTTCATACATAACAAATTTTTGTCGCAGTTTTTTCAGCAACGACTCATTGTAGATGCTTGAAATTTTCACACAATTTTTCCCTGATGCATGCCATATGGTGGGATACCTTTTTGGTCAAATTCGATGTCAACTTCCTGTTTGTCTGTGCGTCTGTTTCATACACAACAAATTTTCTTCACAGTTTTCCCATTTACTATTCATAGCAGATGTTTGAAATTTTAGTACACTCTTTGTTGAGGCATACCATATGGTGGGATTAATTTTGATCTAAATTTGATATGAATTTTTCTGTTCATCTACCTGTAATTGAACTTGTGTTTATAAACATGATAGTGTTTATTTACATTAGAGCGGGGGTATTACTAGTGAGCATTGGCTCACAGATTTCTTGTTTTACTTTACAATATATTCAACACTTCATAGACATAACAAGTTATGCTTATAATGTAGCAAAACTGTCTGTTTCTGTCACTTTGTTATAAGTCTGCTTTACTGTATGCAGAACTTGGATGGAATAATAAAGATATATTTCACCCCCCCCCCCTCTCTTTTTCATTTATTTATCTAATTTAATAAGATAAGAATATAAAGCAACAGAAAAATATCAAATCAAAAGTCAACCTTCTTCTAAAAAATTAAAATGCCACCTTCTCTCAAAAACCCTGTGGGGAGTATTTGTCCATTTTGAACAGTTCTAGTTTTGACCAAGTTTTTCTTTTCAAGGTTGCCATAACAATTATTTCCATTGTATGTTGTCATGACGATAGTTTTAGCCTTCATCCTGGAGTTGTTTTTGTTCCGTATTCAATACAGAAGAAAACTCAAACTGGAGGACATAGATGGTAGGCTAGCAAACAATGCTAGAATAACATAGTGATTTCATGGCTTTAATTGTAACATTTAAGTGATTGCTAAGCTGACAAACAATTCTAGGATACACATTGATATCATAGCTAGGATATACAGTGATTTCATAGCTTTAATGCTAGGTTACACAGTGATTTCATAGCTTTAATGCTAGGATACACAGTGATGTCATAGCTAGGATACACATTGATTTCATAGTTAGGATACACATTGATATCATAGCTAGGATATACAGTGATTTCATAGCTTTAATGCTAGGTTACACAGTGATTTCATAGCTTTAATGCTAGGATACACAGTGATGTCATAGCTAGGATACACATTGATTTCATAGTTAGGATACACATTGATTTCATAGCTAGGATATACAGTGATTTCATAGCTAGGATACACATTGATTTCATAGCTAGGATACACATTGATTTCATAGCTAGGATATACAATGATTTCATGGCTTTAATGCTAGGATACACAGTGATGTCATAGCTAGGATACACAGTAATTTCATAGTTAGGATACAAATTGATTTCATAGCTTTAATTATAACTTTTAAGTGATTGCATGAACTTCATATGAAATTTGAAAATCTATGCTTGAAAAGGAGATGTAAAAGAGCATGCTTGATATTCACAAGAAAAGAACATGCGACCTTCACAAAAAAAATTTGCACAAATATCAAAATAAAAACAATAAAGCCTCAAAATCAATGAAGTTTCTTTTCCCCGAGTATATTTAAAAAGAGACATTTGAATACCAGTAAAATTGTGATATTTTCTTTTCAGACCATGCTAAGCAGACAGTACATGTGTACATCAGTGATGAAGAAAAGATGATGTGTGAGAACCCAGACTACAAATGGACCGGTCGATACATAGCTCTACAGAGAGATTCCACAGAACTACAGGTGAGCTTAAATATATTTTGTTGTCTGTAAGTTTACCTTTCTGATTATCTGACAATTACATACATTCAAATTTAGCAGTGAAACAGCTTAAAATGTGATACATTTTTAAAATGTTAATTTAATATTTTCCGGTAAAAAGTAGTAGATGTTGTTCATGAAAATTAATTTTTAAAGGACTAAGTCTTAAAAAAATTACAGATCATAGTATAGAAGTACAACGTTTATTCTGACTTTGTGTTTCCAGACCCCCTACATGTACAAGGGAGAGAGACACAGGAACAAAGAAGATTTCAGTCTCAGAATGTATGGGGATGAGGTCAAGGTCAGGTGGATTAAAATTCATTCAATAGCATTGACAGAATTTTTCTGCTAATCATTGTATATTTGATGTTGACTAAGATGTTTATTTATTGTCAGCAGAATTTTCTGCTAATCATTGTATATTGGACGTTGAGTAAGTTGTTAATTTGTCTTTGACACAGTTTTTTTTCAAAAATTTTTTTTTATCGTTCACAAAGTTGTCTGTTTGAATCCATGTTAGCTCACCTGAGCCGAAGGCTCAAGTGAGCTTTTCTGATCAAAATTTGTCCGTCGTCCGTCTTCTGTCGTCGTCGGCGTAAACTTTTCACATTTTCATCTTCTTCTTAAGAACCACTGGGCCAATTTCAACCAAACTTGCCACAAAGTATCCTTAGGTGAAGGGAATTTAAGTTTGTTTAAATGATGGGCCATGCCCTTTTCTAAGGGGAGATAATTATGAATTAGTGAAAAATTAATGACATTTTAAAAAATTCTTCTCAAGAACCACTGGGCCAAGAAAGATGAAACTCAAGGGAGCATCCTCAGATAGTGTAGATTCAAGATTGTTCAAATCATGACCCCCGGGGTAGGGTAGGGCCACAATGGCCTTCAAAGTTTTACATAGGAGTGTATAGGAAAAATCTTTAAAAAAATCTTCTCAAGAGCCACTGAGCCAGGAAAGATGAAACTCAAGTGGAAGCATCCTCCGGTAGTGTAGATTCAAGTTTGTTCAAATCATGACCCCCAGGGGTAGGATTGGGCCACAATGGCTGATCAAATTTTTACATAGGAATTTATAAAGAAATTGTCTTCTCAAGTACTTCAAAGCAATGATTAGTGATAGTATAGGAAGAAAATGTTTTTAAAAAATCTTTTTATCAATTTTTTTTATCAAGAACAGCAAAGTCATATGCTGTATTAATATGAAGGCATTCTAAAGTAGTATTAAATTCAAGCCCCCCCTTTCAATAAACTTTTCAGTTCTGATATGATTTGTTTTTTCCTAGCAGATATGCTCAGGTGAGCGATGTGGCCTCTGGGCCTCTTGTTTATTTTATCATTTACAATGACAAAATTGTCTGTAAATAATTGTTTATTTGTTGTTGACTAACTTGTTTATTTATTTTTGACAGACTTGGTTTTTAATTGTTGTTTATTTGTGGTCTACAGAGTTGATTGTTTATTGTTGTTTATTTATCGTTGACAGAGTTGGTTGTTTTATTATCGTTGATTTATCATTGACAGAGTTGTTGTTTTTTTTATCGTTGACAGAGTTGGTTGTTAATTGTTGTTTATTTGTTGTAGACAGAGTTATTTATTTATGGTTGACAGAGTTGTTTGTTTATTGTTTTTTATTTATCATTATAGAGGTGGTTGTGTTGATTGTTGTTTATTTATCATTGACAGAGTTCTTCATTTATCGTTGATAGAGTTGTTTGTTTATCATTGACAGAGTTGTTTATTTATTGTTGTTTATTTATCGTTGTTTATTGTTGTTTATTTAACATTGACAGAGTAGTCTATTATCATTGGTTATTTATCATTGACAGAGTTGTTTGTTTTTGTGTATTTATTGTTGTTTATTTATAGTTGACAGAGTTGGTTGGAGGAGGAGCAGGAGAGTCGGGAGCAGACCATTCACACAATGACAGAACTCCGGAGGCGGAGTCGACCTAACGCTGACCTCGAGGACCTGGACGAGGACGTCATTCCCAGCTCCTCCTTCTCCATCCCTGTAGCTGACAATGTCCAAGAGGCGGGGCTACTGACCTAAAGGGGCAGGGCCACTATCCTAAAGGGGTGGATTCACAAACCTAAAAGAGAGGGGGCCAAAACCATAATGGGGCGGGGCCACAACTTTAGATGATTTTTAGGAGAGAAATGATTTCAATGACATTGATATGGGTTGCGTCACATAGTGGTCTCTGATCTACTTTGGATATTTGATGTTTATTTATTGAAGTTAAACCAAAGGCAAAGGTGCTCTACTGTCCCAGGATGGGGACAGTTTTATTCATCTTTTTTTTTCTGTGATCAAGTTCAAATTGTGCCAAAAAGTCTTTAACATTTCATTTAACGCTGCCTCCTTATGTTTCATATTCAGGAGGTATTTTAGTTTGAGTGTGTAAGTATTGAATGCTTTGTATTGATCAAGAGAGAGAAGTTTTCTCATATTGAGAGGAATAAGTTTGTGTCTGAGAAAAGAAAAATCCATGCCTCGTGTAATTACAGTAGTAAATCCTATTTAAAGCCTGTGTTTTTGAGCAACCTATGAACGGAAATTATAAAATAGTCAAATTTGATACTATTAGGGGACGACCATTTGATTCTGAGGGGAGGGGGGGCAGATGTTGGAAATAATTCATCTGCCCTCCAAAATGTTGAAAATAAATAATCTGTCCTCAACTGGAGTGGAAATAAATAATCTGTCCCTGACTTCGATGTTTTCACTTTTTTGCTTGTCATACTCTTTTAGTGAAGAACAAAATAAAAAATCTGTCCTTGATCCTTCAGCGACATGAAAATAAATAATGTAAATAATGTGACTTTAAAACACCCCCTATCAGAATAAAGATGGTCATCTCTATAGGTGGTCAATACAAGCAGGGAATCCGATTCTTGCAATTTTTTTTATTATATTAGATGCTGCTTAAAATACCTGTATGAAATATTCCATTGATTATTTTGATTTTGTCAACACCCTCTAGAGAAAATTTTGCAGTTGCTTATATCAGAAGTTTGTTATTTACAGGTAGTTGTTATGAAAGACTTGATTGACATGTAAATGATATGATATTAATGCTTTTCCATTTTTACTTTTCAGTTAATTCGTAATAATTAACTTACAGTTTTATCTGAAAAACTAAGTAACTGGTTCTCAACTTCTTATTTTATATTGACTGGTTTTCATTATTAAATATGTTAATTGACCTTGTTTTTTTAATGTTACACACCATACTATTTGCAGGTAATAGATCTATATGTTAAAGGGAATCATCTAAGATTTTCCTGATTTTCCTAATGCTGAATCAAGTTTCATTTCAACTGTTGATCAACTTTGTATGATGGTCTTTTTTTTTTTAGAAACAGGTGCTTGTTTTGTTCAGATGACTTTGAATATTGGTGCTTTCTACAGTGTGTAACTTAATGTTTCAACAAATGAAAGCTTCATTTCCAAGATTGTAATTTAGAACCATTTGACATTTGTTTATCAATTCTCATTCTGATATCTCATTCGGTATCCTGATTTCTTTTGTACTCATTTATTGTACATATAACTTGTGTTCTATAGATCATGTCCTCCATCTTAAATTCTCTATTTAGATTTTAATACAGATATGTAATGTTAAAGTTTATAAGCTGGACCTTAGTAAGTTTACTGATA